TTTGCCAGCGCCTGTCCCCACCACCAGTGCAGACGAGATGACACTGCTGGGGCAGCTCCTCGCTGCCCAGGGGTACCCTGGGAAGGGGTCTAGCCCAACAGGCACAAGAGCCTACTGGCACAGTGCTGCATCCAGGGACAAAGGTCCTTGACAAACAGACCCCAGTGCCCGTCCATCTCTGGGCACGCAGCAGGTTCAAGGGGTGCCTGCAGAAGGCTGGGGCGTGGGTCCCTGCCAGCAGTAGAACTGGCATCCAGTAGTGCCCAGGGCTGGGAGCGTGCCCGGCTCTCATGCCTTTCATCATCACTTGCCTGGATGAGTCAACACCACAGGCTTAATGATTGACAAGGGAAAATATTCCCCCCTGGGGTCAGGTCTGCAAGCTTCCAAAAAAGCAGAAGACATTCCCCTCCCCACAACCTCCTGGCTGGAGGTGGCCAGGGTGTGGCCAACCAGTGACAAGGGGCAGGAGAGGAACCTGGGGCTCTGCAGCTTCTCACTCTGCCAGGATAGGGCAGGAACTTTGGGGCTGGTGGGTAGGAGAACTGGGCCTGGCAGCACCCTGCCCCACAGCAAACACCCACAGGAAGGAAGAAGTGCTGAAGCCTTCCCATGGAGCTTGGACCAGCATTAACAGATGGGGCTGGAGGCCAAGGAAGAGATGAGACCCTGGCAAGAGCCATGAGCTGCAGATGCAGAGGGAGTATTCAGCTGGGGACAAGCATTACATCTGTCACCCATGTCTTGCTGCTCAAAGAAGGGGAACTTTACCCCAGCTTTGCAAACACAGGGCATCGCACTCAGGAACAGGCAGGCTAGCCTGCAGACGCCTTCCCAAAATAACCCTGGCAGCCAAATGCCTGAGCCACAGTGACAGACAGCCCAGAGAGACCCAGCTCATTCCCCCCCCCCGCCCCCATAGTCCCCTGGAAGCTGACCCATATAGAGGTATGTGGGGCATCTCTTGTCCCCAGCCCCACCAAGGCAGCTGCCTGCAGCCACATCTGGTCCCCACATCTGGTGTGTCCCCCTCCCGCTCCAGGCACATCTATGCTCCAGGGATTTACCCCCTCCACACAGCAGGGAGCAGCACCCACCCCCTCCAGTGCAAGCACAAGGGTGGCTGCACAGTGACACAGTCTATGCCAGCCTGTTCTGGGGGCACTTGCTGCACCCCAGGGACAGAGCAAGAACAGGCTAAGATGGTCTTTAGCAAAATCCATCAATTTATTTATTTACCAAGTCAGCAATAAATAGAGGAAAACCAGGCAGCAGGGGTGCTGGGAGTGGGACTGACCCCTCCAGGATCGGGGACAGGCCAGGAGCCCAGCAAAGCCCATGCCCCATGGGAGAGCAAGGGTGTGAGAAGGCAGAGGGGCACTGCGACGGGGGTCCGACCCAAGCCCTACAACAGGACAAGCTGAGGAAGTGAAGGACAGGGGTGGCAAAGGAAGCAGCAGGCAGAGCACAGCACAGGCAGCTGCCTCACCCCAGCACTGGGAGCAGAGCTGGCAGCTCAGGTCCCTCCAGTTTTCACAGCACCCCAGAGCAAACCTGCAGGTGAGGAGAGGGGCTTTTCCCCCTCCCTAGCTCAATTCCCAGCCTGGTGACATACTGCCGCAGCTAGGACTAGACAGGATGGGTGCATGTGAGCTGGGAAGGAATCCCATGAGCAGGGTTATGCCGGATACTGAGGGCACCAGCTTGGTGCCAAGCACAGGGACACCTGACCCGCTCACCCGCCCTGCCCTGGCTCCACCAGGAGACCCAGCCACCTCCTGAGAGCTTCATGCTCCAGTCCAGGTACCCATCTCTTCTTTCAGAGCATCAGGCCAAGCCTCCCAGCCCCTCAAAAACAGGCAGCAGCCATGGGGCTGCAGGAAGGACAGATGCCACAGGGCAACCGCCCCAGCACAGGCTCCTGCCTTTAAAAACCTACAATTCACATAAAACTGCCATTGTAAAACCTTCCCACAGAGCAGTACCACACAGGGAGGGGGGATGAACTCATCCCAGGCAGAGCAAGACAAACCCTAAAGTCCAGATCCAGCAGGGACAGGCAGAGCCTGGGGGTGATGTGCCAGGGCAGCAGGTGTTACCGGCAGGTGCAGGACTCTGCAATCATGTTCTCATACTCCTTGTAGAGGATGCCACCGTCACGCTCGATCATGAGGACGCTGATGGGGCTGTAGCGGTAGGGGACACAGGAGGGCCGGGGCACGTTGGCATCCACCAGCTGATGGACGAAGCTCTGCACCACAGCGTGGTTGGGCGCATGGTAGTCGTAGCGGAGCAGGCGGGGACAGGCACCCTTGCAGTAGCGGGGGTTGTAGCGGTGGGGAGCAATGATCCAGTGGTCCCAGCCCAGCTGGGCAAAGCTGACGGGGAAGGGGCGCAGGGAGCAGTCGCTCTTGTCCCCTCCCTGCTCTCGCAGGTAGCTGGGCAGGTCGTAGGCCAACGTCCCTGTGTCACGCCGGTGCCGGCGGGGCTCTGCCACTGGAGGTGCCAGCCCAGCCCGGGTGTCATTGAGGTAGAGGAGGAGAAAGGGATGGCTGAGGGCCACTGGGGCATCGTGGCCCTCCGCCCGGCCAGCACGTACACAGACATGCCGCAGCACCAGGCTCCCCACACTGCCATTCCCCAGCACCAGGTAAGGGGTGACATCTGCTTCGGCCCAGCCATGGCGGGGGCGGGTGGCAGGGTTGAGCAACAACCCAGGTGCCTCGCCAGTGGCCACCAGCTCCAGGGCACAGAGAAGGCGACTGTGGGCCAGCAGCAGGCTGGGCAGGTAGACCACGGTGGCTCGGAGGAGGTGTTCAGCCTCAGGCTGGCCCTCCAAGTGGTAGGTGAGGGGCTGCACATACCAGCGACCTGTGGGGAAGCAGCAGTCAGTGCCCCCCTAGTACAGCACAGCAGGCACCGCACCAGCACAGCCTTCTCCCACGGTGCTGCTGCAGCGGAGCCCACGGCGTCACCACCCTCAAAGCCTGTGACAGCCAGGTGACCCAGCACAAGCCTCAGCAAGCAACAGCCATGTGCTGCAGCTTGCTGGCAAGGTGAAGGACAAAGAGCATCTGGGACAACTCCTATCCTCTGCACCAACACCACTGGCCTGGCACAGCATGGGGCAGGATGGGAAGGGGAGAGGGGCACACGGGGCCAGTGGGGCCCTTGCCGAACTCCCCCCTGGGGCAGGGAGAGCCTGGGCCCCCAGCCAAGAGGGACTCCACAGCCAAGGGCAGCCCCTGCAGGGCACAGGACATGCCAGCCCTGGCAGGACACTGTAAAGAGGGGGAAGGAGGCAGGTGAAGACCCCACAAGGCTCAAGCCCACCCTGCCGGCTTCACTAAGCCCCCACACCACCCTTGGTGCCCACCTGCTCCTTACCTGCCCAGGGCTGATCCCTGTGGGAACTGGCCTGGACCAGGCGGACAGTGTTGGTACCCAGGCTGCGGCCGTGGCGGGGTCGCCCTTCGTGGTCGGCGGCACGTCGGTACAGGTTCAGCATGTAGCGGAGGGGATGCCCGCTTGCTGACCCTGCTCGCCAGCCCTGGCTGCCTGGTGCCCGCAATTGCAGGGCCTGCAGGAGGGGCAGTGCAGGGATGGCTGGCAGGGAGCCGGGGGACAGCGGGGACTGGTTTGCAGCCCAGGAAAGGGACACAGAGAGGAGGAGGAGGCTGGTGAAGGGATGGAGCGATGCCATGATAGGTGCGTGGGAGGCTGGGTGAGAAGGTGGGTAAGCAGGGCAAGGTGGGGCTGGCTGGCAACAGGATTAGGGGGAGCCTGCAGTCATGCTTCTCCCCCCTGGAGAGGCAGAGCTAGCTGTGGGCACCAGCAAAAGAGGACCCCACAGTGCTGCCAGCTGCTATCAAGCCAGGACAACCATGCCAGCTGCTTC